TGTGTGTGTGTGTGTGTGTGTGTGTGTGTGTGTGTGTGTGTGTGTGTGTGTGTGTGTGTGTGTGTGTGTTTTTTGATGTGTGTGTGTGTGTGGACCAAATATAATTTTCCCAACTTGGCACTTTTTCTTCACATCATTATTTTCCCCGTTACCTCACTTACCAGTCCCTAACAATGCCTCCGTTGCTTGCCTCCACCCAAAGCATCCAAGCTCTACCCTCCTCGAGCGCGATTCAACACGCAGAATCACAACGCAATGCAACCTTATTCATCCTTCACGATTCAGCACTCATCGACAAAACTGCCGTTCAAAGCAAATACGACGAGCACATCGGCGTCATAGGCAAAGACGGCGCCGCATGAGAATCTGACTGACAACCAGTGCACGTTATGCCACAGCAAGTGGGAGGAAAAGAAGATTCGTTACGCGGTTTTTCCGAACTTCTCAATCTGCCAAAACCTGAGGGAGACAATTGCATGAATTGAGATATTATGTCCCAAAAATAAGAAACTGCATTTCCTGAAATAGCAAATTTATTTTCACTTGCTTCGTTGTGTGTTTTGTACAGGAAAATTGCGACCATGTACAAACTGACTTACAAGTGAGACCCCTCCGAAAGCCGCATGGACGACAGCACGGCGATTGGGCCGGAAAGGCGGGGCAAGCAATAGACTCTCGGGATTCTGTCCGAAGCCACGACATAGCATGCGTATAAAATGATATCGCATGCATTTTGCTTGTTGCATTATTCACAAAGACTATTTTTAACTACAAAGGAATGAAAGAATGACCTCACCGTCCACACACACAATGTGGGGGTGTCAAAATCGAGGGTGGTAGGATTGCAAACAATCCTAATGTTTTTAGCCAGTGGCTTGTAAATGTTGGGGCGCGCTCCATCTTCTCCTCATGAGTTCACTTTCAACTAATAAAACTTGACGAAGCAGAGTGGAAGACCGGGTTCCCTCGTCATAAGGTATCGCCTTGCCTCGTTCCGACTAAAGCTCGACGAAGCCGCGACTGGAAACCAAGTTCGCTCATGGTACCAGGTTCCCTCATCATAAAATATCGCCTCGCCTCGCTCATTACGACTTAGGCTCAGTGAAGCAGAGTGGAAGACCGGACTACCTCAGCATAAGATATCAACTCTTGCCTCATTTCGACTAAAGCTCGACGAAGCCTCGCTCATCACGACTTAAGCTCAGTGAAGCAGAGTGGAAGACAGGACTCCCTCAGCATAAGATATCACCTCTCGCCTCATTTCGACTAAAGCTCGATGGAGCAGAGTGGAAGGCCGGGTTCCCTCATCATAAGACGTCGCCTCGCCGAAGATTGGGCGGACCTTACGACCACCCATCATCATGAACACATCATGGACTGGATATGGACTTCTCATGACCAATCGCGCAGCAGCCAAGACGTCATCATCGTGCAGCTCCTCATCACTCTGACGAAAACTTGGCAATTCAGCGTGTGTGCGGCTTCTCCAGCCAGTTTCCCTCAGCTGGTGCCATCTCCTGCTCAAGTATCCATGGCCGCGGTCTCGTTTATCACAAAAAGTAATACATTGCTGCCATCCAACTCAACCTTCTTCCCTCGAATATGACGTACGGTCATTACAGCTGTATTTAGACTGGAAGAAACCCCAAATACAGCAATAATGACTGTAAGTTGTGTTCGTGGGGAAGAAGGTAGTTCAAAGGGTGGCAGTAATCGCTTCAGCAAACACGAGCGCCCTCAAAAGCATCTGTGGCCTTGCCTTGCACGTAATGCATTGCTGCTGTCCGATTTCAGTTCTAAGCCCAGAGATCATCTAGATCACTGTGCCCTCTCTACCATCGGTGAGCATAAATGGCTAGTATGACAACAGACATACGGCTAGCATGCTCACTGAGACACAACCAACAAACCATTCTCACAGATGGCATGGCATTGATGTACCATATCGATACAGATGGCATGGCATATCGATACAGTTCTCAAAGATGTAACCCACTTTACCTTTGCCAAAAGGAAGATGTCCTGGAATGTGCTGCTCAAGCATGACTTCAGCCTGTCGGCAGAAAAAGCCATTGTGCTGTGCGTTGTCTTCGCCAGCGTAAGGTCCGCCTTGCCGGCATAGCTCTGGTGCAATCTTGCGGTTGGGTTCCACTACTGCGCCACCCCGCCGCCATGGTTGTTCAGTAGTTGAGGCTGTCTTCCCTACAACTGGCCCAGTAATGTAGTTGCCGAGGGGTTCATGAAGGCCTCCAATACTTGGCAAGATGGCGTGGCACTACTGAGCCACCTCAGACCCCCCGTAGCTGTGGGGTGCTCGAGGGCCCCATGACCCGCCACTACAGCAGTGTCAAAGGCCTATATCACCTTGGTGTGGCCAAGTCAGCGGTGTTCAGCAGCTGTATTCGTGAGTATCGGCAGCAGCATGGGCAGCAGGCCTTCGGTTGCCAACCAATCAATGGCTCGTGTTACTCGACCAGGTCTGTGACCGCTTGGGCATGCTCGCACAAGCACCTTCCAAAATGCATCTGGCCATAATTACAGCCATACCTGGTCGAATCTGACTGCAATCGTGCCCAGAGATTCGTAGAAAAAGTTCTAGTGTGTGTATGCCCTGAAACAACCGGAAAGGGACCCCGGCGCAGCTGGCTTCACAGTCGCATTGACAGCCTCCCAGCGTGACGAGCAGGCCTCGCGTAGGCAACAAACTGAAGGTCCGCATTACTTTCGAGGCCCGCACCACAGCCGTACCGAGCCGAGAACAACGCGAACCGGAAAGGCAGCCTATGCAGCTGCTCGGCAGCTGCATTCACAGGCTCCCAGAACGACGAACAGGCCTCTCTAGCTGGCAACCAACTGACAACGGTCCGCATTACTTGATGAGGTCTGCACCGCTGACGTACCGGGCCAAGAAGGAAACGAACCGGAAAGGTGCTCCCGTCAGCGGCGAATCCGTAAATCCCACAAGTTTAGCACTTTTAGGTTCTTCCTCACCTTCGTCAACTTCACGTCTCACCTGATTGCTATCGACCCTTTGAACTTCTGTTTCCTTCCCATCCTCCTCCTCCGCAACTGGAACCAGCTCCGCCTCTGGCAAGCGCGCACTGTCTATGCTGCTCTGACCGAGTCTTGGTACCTCAAATTGCGCATACCCATTGTCCCAAGGCATTTCCTGTGTCGTGGCATTTGCTTCAGACTGTTCATTTTGCGGAAAAGCGGGAAAATGATGCAGATCTTGTGCACGCGACTGCATCCTTACATCCCCCTCCGTGTACATGGTGGCATTGCTCAATTGCGCTGGCGTTATCTCTGCGGACACATGGTACGATCTCGAGGAGTAGTCCAGTTGTTGTCCCGAGTGAGCCTCTGCGGCATGACCGATAACTGCATCCTCCCTATGCAGCTCACGAAGCCCATGCGCGAATTCCCCATAAGATGCTGCAGGCAATGGACGGACAGGTGCTGGAACAAAGTGCGATTCTGGCGCTCCTTGCTGGTGGGCAACAGCATAAGGTTCAGCATCGGACGGAGGCACTCTTGGCTGATGAAGGAACCCATTGTCATCATGATCTCCTCTGGCTGTCCGTAGCAGACCATCATCATCCATGGGAGGTTGTCGTCCATCATGGCGCCTGTCAAGTGCAGCTGAGAGCTCCTTGTTCTCCTGCCTTAAATTGTTTAACAGCAAGCTTTGCTCATTCACCTGCAATCGTCCGACAGCAACACATCGGTCAAGACCAGCCCAAAACTCCCCAGACTGATAAAATGAGTTCTTTTCACACAAGACAAGACCCAGAAGAGTTAATTCCCCACTTTCTCAAACTTCAGCGCGTTTCAGAGTCTAACATGGCTGCAGAAAGCATCATTAACCTGAAGGGTTAATCCCCCACTTACATAATATTGCAATGAGATAAATAAACCAGCAACTGATAATTTCCTTCAACCACAGACAAGTCCTCTAGGTGTTCATCAAGTTCAGATAGAATATATTTGAAGAGTCCTTGCTTGGACTGCCTCTGACAATAAGTGCATACTCACAATGGCGCTTTATTGAGCATATATTTGACCGTAATTCCAGCCATTCAGCAGAACTCCCCCCCCTCTGTCAACATTCCAGATTCATGTTGTGATAGGCCAACAGGTACAGGCTACAGATTAGCACGAGAGCACTGCGATGCGGTCGTTGAATGAAATCCCCCAGCTGAGAACACCATTAGACGAGAGTGGCACAAAAATCCACACAGAATTTTGAACCACCAGTACATCCGAGCCTCTATTTCCTATGGCTGATTTCTGCTGGACGCCCCATCTAAAACAATCCGCTGCAGCGCTCTTTTTCTTTCTCTGTGGCTGGCACCTGGCGCTGCCCCCAAAGAATGTAGGTGTAATAGGTGTGGTGGGTGAAGATACACAGGTCCATATTAGCAAGAAAAAAAGGCCAGATTGTATTAGGCAGGGAGACGCCAGTGGCGCCAACCATCCCTGCTAATGAACGGCAAACATACTTTGGCCATGAGAGAATCGTTCTCCACGACAAGCTTCTGAATTGTTGTTGCAGCCGCTTCCTTCTGCAGTCGAGACTCTTCAGCTAACGCTGCTGCTTCAGCAATCGGATCCCTTGCACGGCCTCCCAGCCCAAAAGAATACTGACAAGTTACGCAAATGAAAACACACACACCATTACACGAAACCAGAAAGAATTATAAGCCGGACTGGACTTCGGCGCAATGACCACAGTCACAACACATACTAAAGACGAGCACATCAATGCTATATAACAAAGGGACGGACGAAGACACTCCCAAGAAATGCAGCAGTTTGACATAAGAAGAGAACCAAAAGGACAGCAATTGGCGAGAGAAAGCCATAGAAGGCAGAAAGAGAAAGGCTACTGTACAGCCACAAGAAAATGAGAGAAATCTGAGAAATCCATATAAGCCACAAAGAGGACAGGCTAATGTACTGCCCCAATAAACGGTATAGGTGTGCAGGGCATCCATCTATTCATCCCATTGTGCTGATATACAAACAAACAAACAAAAAAAAAAAAAAAAAAAAAAAAAAAAAAAANAAAAAAAAAAAAAAAAAAAAGCGCCATCACTGCCATCATGTGCCATGTGAATGAGCACCATTCGTACTGTCCCTATTCTTTCATCCTGCCACACTAAAGCCAGGGGAACTGCCTTCAAACTTCAAAGACACTCCGGCCAAAAGAAAACCCTGCCAAGCTTTGACTCTAATTCTTCTCTGTGAAATGACTTGAGCCTGTAGACCGGGAAAGGAAGACGTAGCTGGGGTTCGACTCTAGTTCGAGTCTGTCACACGACTTCAGGAGGGGTGTGGAATAAGTGGGAACTTTACAGCACAAGTGAAACAGGCGATCGTGCGGAGGTGTATCGATTACAACCGACGGATTTTTGTGGGAAGAGAACAGCAGAAAGCACTACCATATTCTCCCAGATACAAGGCATGGTATTTGATAATTCTATCGAGGGCCAAGCTTTAGGCCAGCCAGATACAGCTACAACCACCAGGCCTCGGCAGGACAAAACAGTTAAAACTCCAGAGAGAAAGGGTCCGAAACAAAATAATTATTCGTGCAAATCTGAATCCCCAAAGGCCTCTACGTTATTCAGCTCCTGCCTGAATGAGGCACGCAGAGGTCTCGTAGCAGTGGGAAGAGCAATGCGGAGACGCTTGCACCTGTACACAATCTGAAGATGGATTCGTAATTTCGCACAGACGCACGCAGGTACAAGAGCAGCATATAGATTCTGTGGAAGCACATAAACAGCGTGGGCTATGGAACTCCGAGCACACCAAGCAGAGGGACAGCATCAGGGAGTGAGTGGATACTACAACATAATTTTCCAATTTGCGGGTGGAACGAGACTTCAGCAACTCAGAACAGAAGGGGTGATCCTTTCTTTCTTTATTTCACTACTTGCTTTCTCCTCTCTTCTCCTCTCCACTTCTCTAGTCCTCTACACACACACTCTCACACACACACACACACTCGCACACACACGCGCACACACACACACACACACACGCACACACACGCGCACACACACACACACACACACACACACACACACACACACACACACACAAATGCGTACACACACAAAAGCACACACACACACACACACAAACGCACACGCAAAATGGGAGCCTGTAAATACCCTGGGTTGCATGCCTCTGGACTGCACAGCAACCTCTCTCTCCAAGTGTTGCATGCCGCTCTGTACCACTGACAATTTGTTTGACAGCTGCGTTTTTTCCAACTGCAGTTGATCAACCTTCAGCCGCCATGCAGCAACCTGCAGGCAGGCACCAGAAATGCCCATCCCCAGAAAACACGGCCACGGACACTCCTGATCAATTAGCACATTTCGAAACACTTCAAAATTTATCACAGACAAGGCAAGAACCAAAAGCCAAAACAAGACGGGGGCAGGCAAGGCAAAATGATTAGGACGAGCCTCTTTAAACACAATCTTTTTCTTTTCCCTGCCATTCTTAAGCGAATGGGACGGCTATGAGAACGTAACATTTCAACCCCTAAGTATATGGCTGATGCAGTAAAACGGAATTAATTCGCCCACATACACACATGCCTGCAACACACTCAAAGCCTCGTACAAGTCCCCTTCCAATCGCTGCTAACAACAGCGGCAAAACAGCCACACATATGGTGTGTTTTTGGATCTCAGATGAACGTACGCTTTTGGTACCAATTGGTACCTTCCGGTACTTTGGAGCCTAATGAATGTCACCTTTTTTTTTACGCTTTCAGTACCAATTTGGTACCCAATCTGTTTCTGGCACTTAAAGCCAACTCCAGAAACTGAAGTCATGCTTGCAAAAACAGAATAAAAGTATCATCCTGAATCTTAGTACGAAGAACAAGACTCGTCGATTTTTGGAGGTCGATTGTAACGCAGCACATTGGAACTTCGGTCTTCTGTCGTGTACCAGACAACCACCCCCCTCACAGATCTTGGACGAAAAATGATAATCTCCGGCCGTTCAAAGCTGCATTTGTTGTCATTTTTTTTTCTTCATGTTGTCTGACGGACCACGGATCAGATAATATTTAACGGTTGATATACAGGGGGATCCCCGTACCAGCCAGAACCGTGTTCACAAGAGAACATGGAGCAGTGGTAGGCAGGTAGTGTGAGGTGAGAAATTGAGAGAAGAATATAGTTTTTTTTTTTTAAATATGGTTGACAACTTGAGACAAAGTATTGCCTTTTGGACCTCTTTGATCACTTTTTTATACTCTGTTGTTTTGGATACAATTTGAGAATTCGACAGCCCACAAAGAGCACTCTCATGAAGCAGAGCGACGAAAGCAACAGAGCAAAAACAAGGCAGAAGGTGACTTGGAGGCAGTTAGGGGCACACACTGAAACCATTCTTTTTGCGTGTTTATAGGTTCTGCTTCGCCGTTTTTTCTATATGGTTAGATCATGCCATCTACAGTCCCTTGGGACATCCGTAAAAACTGGAACTATACAGGGAAGGTTAGGACAGTGCCCTCGATGCGAGAGGAGGATGTCAAGCACACATCGAGAAACCATCACCTCTCAACTAGGCTTTCTCCAGGGGGGCGAGGAGCAGCCACATGGCATTCATATGTTCTCCTCTCTGCGCGCTTTCTACGGATCCGCACTCGAACTGATTCGGGGGCAGAATCGGGAGCAGAATTGGGGGCAGAATCGGGGGCAGACACAGATGCATGGGCAACAAAATACCCTTCCAGTGTCCTCTCTTTCTTCCTCCCCAAGTGTCCTCTCTTCCATTGCACCGATTCTGGCCACGATATTGGCCCAGGGGCTAAAAATACCCTAACAGGAAGGGCACCCTCTCACGGTGTCCTCTCGTTCTTCCTTTTGCTAGCTCCATCCTTCCCCCGGTGTGATCGCCACCGGTCTCTTCGGACTGATTGCACCTTCCGTCACCTTGAGATGATAGAGGGCCCGGCCCTCACTCCAGCAGTCCGTGACTGGCTGGCCTGTCACTCTGCAACGTGGGGAAGATCTCAGAGGCAGGACCATCAGATGACAGAGATGCATGGGCAGCAAAACACAGTCCTGTTAGCGATTCCAAGCGATTGGGAAGACCAAATTTGACACCTGATTGCCGCACAGAAAGGGTCCAACAAGTTGAAAAACATAGATCACCAGCTACCGTCTTCCCCCGAACGTACCAGACCAGAAGATAGCTTCTTTACATTCACTCTCCGGGTGCCTTACGATCGGGAGAAGATGGTGGCACGCATAGATCTGTAGCAGCATTGCCCAAATTTCAGAATTTAAGGGCCTCATGGAGGTTCCAGGAGTAAACCGATTCCTGCTTGGGCTTAGACACGGACGACACTTGCACGGCTCTGCCTGAGCATACCAAAAACAAAGTACCGTCCATGTCAAAGCCCAAGCTGGAGTCGGTTTTGTTATGAACATGATTGTCTGTTGAAATTTTATCAACACTCACTCACAGGAACTCCCGTACATGCCCATACATGCACAGAAGAAGGGGGAGAGGTAGTGGAGTATCACACCGCCCACCAGAAAGAAACGCAGCGGAAGACTCAGAGGAGCGAAGTGAAAGAAAACACAAACAGTGAATTCTCTCCACACAGATCCCAACAATCATTCATAGAAGACAACCGAGTGATCACAGCCAGAAATCCATGAAGGGATGACAACTCAAACACAGTATTGACACTGTTTATTAAACTCAGAGCATCGTTTCCACTAATAACCCCAGAGTCCTGTTGCGCCACCCTCAGAGGGGTAGCGCCTCAACCGCAACACCCTGAACAGCTAAAAGTAGCACCGAAACCCCAGGTAACACCCAGCGCCACCCTGACATCCAACTCAGTGGGCAGCGCCAAAGTGAAACAGGCTCCCAGAGCCAACCGCCACCCAGATGATGAAGAAGAAGCTCAGCGCCAACAGTCCCTGATGAAGATGAAGCCCAGACGATGATATCTCTGAGAAGATGCAGCTATGGCTGCATCGCCACTGGGACCCTACTCCTGAGGAGGGTCAGCAGTGCACCACGTGCTCCAACGCATCAGTCCTCTGATAGCCCAGACCGCTGTGACTCCCAAAGAGTCAGAGCGGACAGCGTTGACCCCAGTCTGGTCAGCGCTCCGAAGGTCTGGCTATGTCCGCCGTCTCCACCACGGGAATCAGCAACCACGACCTGATACCGTGTGCGCAGCAACTTCCACCACGAAGTGTCAACTGCCAAAAGCCCAGGACCGATGTCCCCATCCTATCTATACTCTACTACTACCCTAGACCGACCTAGACCGGACTGACTGACCGACCGGTACCGTTTCTGTTTCGGCCTCTAGGGCCTCTCCCTACCCGGCTATAGGCTATAGGACCGTCTATCAGCGTAGGCCCATAGGGCCTGTCTGTCCTAGGGCCAGCCCGGGTCCGCTATTCGCAGTTAGGGTAGCTGTAGGAAAATTGAGTTAGTACTGGGCCCATATTTCTATATTTACAGATATGTCCCTCACGACTTTTCAATACAGGCAGGTCTCTCGGTTAGCCCTCAGCCAAACAAAATTACGAATCTGTCCCTACCTAAAGTACAGCCTCGTCAGAGATAGGCTACAGGCAGCCTGGAACCAGCAAGTCATTGCAGTTTACTCCTGGAACCAGTACCAGACTCCACCAGAGGCATACGTCGGTTACGAAAGCAGGAGTCAGTTTTAAGCCACCAGTACCAGATGGGCACAGCATTTTCACCTGACAGACGAAATTCTTACCGGGAATTTTGGACATGCCAAACAGATGAACAGGCTTGCGCAGCACTTGCTTAGGCACATCATCACTCCCAGCCAACTCAATTCGGACGAGCATGTGCAATCCGTACTGCTGTCGGAAACTCCAAGATGCTGTGCGTAGGCACAGCATCACTCCCAGCCAAATCAACTGCATCCTCCTTGGATGGAAACTCAAAACACCTCTGGATTTCTTCGTTTCCCGAAACGATAGAGGAACTACCTCTTTGAACATGAGAATACGAATATCCCAATATGAGAAACCGCTTCGGAGGGGCAACAGCACGGGCTTGCAGAGAGAGATCAGAGCACGAAATGATAGACCAAGCTAATTTGCAATAGAGGCGCAAGTATTTGGGAGATCTTCTCCGGGCGAGGATTTCAAAGTTCAGTCTAAAAGAGAACAATCTATAGAAAGCCGTCGCTTGTTTACTACGGACCTCGAACTGCTCAGGATCTCTTAGGTAGCAATGTAAACCCCTCACAGCGTACACCACTCACGATGATGTACCCCCTCACAATCGAACCCCTCCTCACAGTCCACCCCCTCCTCAGTGTACCTACTATAATTATCATTCATTCTTGGAGTGGTGGCGACATGCGCCCTGACAGTACTTAAGATATCGTAACCAGATATGAGTTCTCTTCAACTGGCTATGGCGACTGGGCGTCCACACAACTCACTGTTCGCACTCTGGATCACCCTGGATGTCCCACACGCAACACTCAGTATCATACGCAACACACACACACGCTATGCTACAGCTATGGCAGCGCTAGCTGCCACTACCTATC